CTGAAACGTGCCCGTTTCCCAGCTTGGTGCTATCCCACTTCCACTTTGACTCCTTCCACCCAACCCTCTTTCACCCAGCATCACCACCAAATGTGACCTCCTATAAAGAGTCAGAAACTTTAATTTGGTGGGGGCAGGGGGTGGAGTCTCACTCTGTTGCCCAGGCTAGAGGGCAGTGGCACAATCTCAGCTCACTGCAACCTCCACCTCCCGGGTTCAAGAGATTTCTGGCTAGTTTTTGTATTTTATTATTATTATTTTTTCTTTTTGAGACAGAGTCTCGCTCTGTCCCCCAGGCTGGAGTGCGGTGGCCACCATCTCGGCTCACTGCAACCTCTGCCTCCCAGGTTCAAGCAATCCTCCTGCCTCAGCTTCCACAGTAGCTGGGATTATAGGTATGTGCCACCACGTCCGGCTAATTTTTCTTTGTGTTTTTAGTAGAGACGGGGTTTCACAATATTGGCCAGGCTCATCTCAAACTCCTGACTTCATGATCTGCCCACCTCAGCCTCCCAAAGTGCTGGGATTACAGGCGTGAGCCACCGTGCCCAGCCTGAGTTTTTTTTTTTTTTTTAAGATGGAGTCTCACTCTGTTACCCAGGCTGCAGTACAGTGGCGTAATCTCAGCTCACTGCAACCTCTACCTCCAGGGTTCAAGCATTTCTCCCTGACTCAGCTTCCCAAGTAGCTGGGACTACAGGTACGTGCCACCACGCCCAGTTAATTTTTTGTATTTTTTTAGTAGAGAAGGGGGTTTCACCATATCGGCCAGGCTGGTCTTGAACTCCTGACCTCGTGATCCACCTGCCTCAGCCTCCCAGAGTGCTGGGATTACAGGCATGAGTCGCCACACTTGACCTAATCTACTTATCATTTATTCTTTATCTCCCCTGTTTCCTTCGGAAACAGATTAGCATCTGTTTTCTGTGCTTATCTGACCGTAAGGTACCGTAACATACCCCGAAACATGGACCCGTAACGTAAGTAAGCCTTGAAGATAACATGTTTAGTTGATTGCAAAACCTTTCTCTCTTCTGCAGGAATATTTTTAAGCTGTGAAAATAAAAATACTGGGCCAGGCTCGTGGCTCATCCTGTAATCCCAGCACTTTGGGAGGCCAAGGGTAGGCAGATCACTGAGTCAGGAGTCACGAGACCAGCCTGGGCCAATATGGTGAACTCCTTCACTACTAAAAATACAAATAATAATAGTAATAATACTTAGCGGCATCGGTGATGGGCACCTGTTATCCAAGCTACTTGGGAGGTGCGAGGCAGAGAGAATCACTTGAACCCGAGGCAGAGGTTCAGTGAGCCGAGAATTGTACCATTTGCAACTCCAGCCTGGGCAACAGAGAGGAGACTCTGTCTATAAAAAGAGAAAAGCAAATACTGTACTGATTCAAGATTTTTTCCAAGCAAATATCAGTAAAGAAGAACCAAACCGGCTTACAAGAAAGGGCACCCGTTGCGCCTTGCGAACACGATCAGCTGCAGCATTGAGTAAGACGATGATCGCGGGCCGGCGCGCGGTGACTTCCTGCCAGTAATCCCAGCACTTTTGGGAAGGACGAGGTGTGGCGATCACCGTGAGGTCCGGTGAGTTCGAGACCACCTGACAACATGGAGAAACCCCGTCCTCTACTAAAATACAAAATTAGCCAGCATGGCGGCAGCACGCCCTTAATTCCCAGGCTACCTTGTGAGGGCTTGGAGCATCAGAATCGCCTGAGACCCGGGAGGATGACGGTTTGCATGACTCCAGCCAAGTGAGCAGAGCGGACTCGTCCTAAAAAAAAAAAAAAGAAAAGGGTGAACAGGCAGCCCCCAGAGTGGGGAAGAATTTGAAA